AACGACGTACGGACCACAGAGAGGGAGGATTGCAGAGTGGAGGGGCACCACTGAAGCAAGAAAGCCAGTGGCCCAGGTGCCTCCAGCCAGAGTCACACACACAGGCCAGCTCATGAGGAGCCGGTACCTCAGTGGGCAGCAAACGGTCACATAGCGCTCCAGAGTCATCGCCGTGAGAAGGAAGCACTCGGTGACCCCCAGAAACAAGGTGAGGTAGGTCTGAGCCAGGCAGCGCTCGTAGGAGATGACTTTCCTGCTGGAGAGGAGGTTGAAGAGCATCTTGGGGACCACAACTGTGCTAAAAAAGATGTTGAGAAAGGCCAGATGACAGAGGAAGAAGTACATGGGGTCTGCAGTGAGGCATCCAGAGCCACCAAGGTGATGACAGTGGTGTTTCCGAAGCAATTTGCTAAGTAGACCAAAGAGAACAGGAAGAAGAGGGGAATCTCGGTTGGGGGATGATTGGAAAATCCCGCGAGGGCCAGCTCAGTGACGGTGCTGGAATTCCCATACACCGTTTAGGTCATTTCTGTTCAAATAAGTGGAAGGAGAAAACAAAAACAATTGTATATAAAGATTCTGAATATTTCAATTCACTTGCACATCAACTTTAATGCTACTGATAAGTGTGTCTTAAATCAGAATAACAATTATTTGTGAAATCTCATTAGACATAAGCAAAAGCTCCAAATCACAGTCTTCATCATATAACGACCTATTTTTGATAAATTGCACAAGAGGTTTGGTTTCAAATGAGAATCCCGCCCACCTCTGGTCATCACGTTACCTATTATTCCTGGATAATTAAATATTACTATTTTAAAAAGTAAGCTTTAGCGTCAGTAGAATAAAAGGATTTTCCAACATCACAAGTACAAAATTTGAAGCTTTAAGGTAATCCATTGTCTTCCCACTGCTTTAAAATGAAAAATGTTTTCGTTTACATTTATCAACATAAGTATTATTTTTTTTCATTTCTGACTCCTAAGGAAAACAAATTATTATCTCATGTAACTGGAATAATATACCTAATGTAATTATTTTGATTATTTTAACCACCCCAATATTAGTAAAAATAATACAATCAGTCCTCAAAATATTGAACTTCCAAATTTCTAGCAGTGATCTTAAAGTAGGTAATATGCTGATTGGGGGCCGCCCACCTCTCTTTCTAACTCCAGCTTCCAGGGCCTCCTGTGTCCCGGCCTTCACAGTCCTCCTCTTTTTGTCACTTCCTTGATGGATTTTTTTTTTTAAGTTTACTTATATTCGTTTTCTTCCATGAGAGAGAAGCAGGCAGACAGGCGCATGGCCCTCAGCTCCGGTCCTTGCAGCCGGATGCACGGGCGCCGCGGCTCAGCGAGGCCAGGCCCTGCCTCCCTCCCGGCCCGGTGTCCCGCAGGATGGCCGAGACCTCGCCGCTGTGGGGTCCGTGCAGCGTCCACGCCCCGGGCCGCGGGGAAGGCGGGGACCTGGCCGGACAGACGGACGCCGGATCGGCGAGCAGGGAGTCGCGCGGGAGGTCGGGAACCGAGGAGCCCCCGCGCTGCGCGGGGCCCTGGGGCGCTGGAGTCCTGGCTTCGCTCCGTCGGCCCCAGCGACTGCTAAACGGTGCTCTCCTCGTTCGGGGAAGACGCGGCGGGGATCACGACCCCGGACAGCCACTTATGGTCACCTGGCTGGGGCTGGCGAGGACAGACGGTGGCACGCCGTCGCGATGTCGCCCCGTCCTGGGCTCCTGCCCTTTCTCAGGCCCGCTCTGCGTTACATCTAGGGGACTGAACTGGGAGGATAGTGAGTCGCAGTTGTCTAGACACTGAATCTCCATCGGAGGCCGCACTGAGCTGAGATCCAGCACGGTTCTGAGTTGGATCCCAAAGGGGACTATTACTAGTTAACTTCAAGTAAGAAAGGAAAACAAAATAATTTATGTTCCACTTGCAGCTAAGGGCAGACAGTTCATTAATGCAATTTGTAATTTTTTTGATTTATTGTGAAACCCGTTCACTCCATTACCTCTTTGAGAGAAACGTATCACATAGCCCGGGTGAGGTGACAGCCAAGTTCAGGATCAGATATGAAGGGAATAATCCAGTCATTTCTCCCATGTTGCTCGCTAACAAGCAAAGCCCCTGGCCCCAGCCCACACCTTCCTCGGAACATGTACCACCTCCAGCTAAGAGGCGTCTGCTGTGCGAGCCAGGACCCCACACCCACATGCAGGGGCTCAGGGGGTCAGACATGTCAGGTGGTCACTTCCACAGCTGCCCTGCCCTGCCGGAACCTCATTTACGAATTTGGTTTCTGAAATAGACTGAAAGACGCAGGAGAGAAAGACTCCGGAATGGATAGGATTAGGGACAGTTTAACTGACAAAAGCAACACTTTTTTTTTTTCCTAGAAAATGGTTTTCCAAAGACTGAGAATCTCCCTTGCATGGCCATTTCTCTGTGCTCAGTGGGCGGCTCTTACTGTGCTGAGCTCACACTTCCTGTCTGTCCACGCTCTGGACTAAGAACGGTAGGGCTGGGATGTGCCGTCCTCAGGGGTTCTAAGAACGGCAGGGCAGGGGTGTGCCGTACCAGTGGGAAGGGCCTTGCCTGACCCTCTCAGTAAACAACGTTGCTGTCTCTCTCAGGAAGCTGAGCCAGGAGTGCCTAGGAAGCAGCTGTGTCTTACAAGCACAATTACAAACATTTCATTTTATTTTCAAAAGATGCCAAACTCAGCAGTAAACTAAATGCTCACCTCATCTGTCACACGAAGGTTAAGCGAAACAATAGGCATGTGAGCTATCACCATCCTGTGAATGTGGAGGACCTGATTTTATGTGAGGAAGGTGGGAGAGGGCCACACCGGCCAGAGAGAGAAGGCTAAGGCCCGGGTTGGGGTGAACGCTCAGGCACCTGAGACCCAGGGCCCGCCCGGTCATGCGCCAGGGCCTCACCGGTCAGGAGGAGTTTGAAGGTGGGAATTACACTTGGGCAGGGGAGCAAGAGTCTCACAGCAGTGACCGTAAGTCCTGTGACCAGGCGGGGTGCCCTCACCCACCTGGAGAGGCCTGGCTGACCCTCAGGCAGTGTGGGACAGTGAGTTGGCAGGCAGAGGACATCCGTAAGAAATGCCCAGTGAGCCCAGGGAGGCTCCCATGCTATCTCAAGCACGCATTCCTGAGAATCCGCGAGCGTGCATCTCTTCACTGCCCTGCAGTGTGGACTCGCAGACTGGAATCACTGTCTGAGATCTGTGGGCTTCCTAAGACTTTATTTGAAGATGTGGCATTTTAGCTCCTGTGATACCATTTGGGTCTGGCCAGTCCTTAGTTCGACACAATGGCCTCCTATAATTTTTGTTTAGCACAATTAAGACTTATTTTTGAGTGTTCATCTGTTTTATTCTTTGTGAGTAAATAGATGAGACTTAGTTCTTCTTGAAGGACACCAATACTTGTCTTAGCACGAAAATGCTGCATTTGACCAGACCTTCGAAAGTCACGTGACTGGAGCCCGCCCGCCACACTGCAGCTGTGACACTTCAGACCTGCACGGAGTCGTCCTCTCTACCAGTCAGTGTGGGCACAAAACAGGAACCACTCTCACTTCCTATGTGGCGCAAAGTCAGCATGCCACGTTCTGAAGAAAGTCTCACGTAAAGAGAAAACAGAGGGGGACCAGCAGTTGACGTAATGGCTATGTCGCTAGACTCCCATGTAGTCGACCATGGTTCTAGTCCCGGACCCGGTGGCTTAAACTCATGCTGGGCACGTGTGCGTGCATGCCCAAGATCCTGAGAGGAGAATGGAGGAGAAGGGATTGTGGCGTGGCCATCCCTCCTGGGGGTGATTTCTCACTTTCTGTCTCTCTCTCTCTTTCTGGCAAGTGCACAGACCCTATAGCAAAAACCTCTCAAAAAATAAAAAAAGAGAGAAGAGAAAACAGAGACGAAAGCTAGATCTAGGCACCATTTTTAAAATTCACCTTTAGGTTCTTATATAATAATAGTTTAAAGACAGTATGAGAAAGTATTTGGTGTAAGGAGCAGTGAGGCCTGGTTGCTTCTGGGTGTCTCTCCCAGCCTGTGAGCAGTGAATTTCATAGCACCGACATCTGCCATTGGCAGTTTTCCTTCCCAACTGGAGGCAGATGAGGGCTTCCCACATCAGACAACGTAGAAAATGTAGAAAATATCACACCAACCATGAGTCACATGTTCAATTTTGCTAGAAACAAATGAATCATTCACACAGATTCTTCTAAGCTTCATGATTTATTGAGTAACTCATCTTATTTCCATTATGACTCTTCTTACAGGAAAAAGAGACATCAACTGTGGAAAGCAGGACCTGGACTTTGGTGGCAGAACTTGCCCTTGTGGGGATACCAGCCACCAGCGCCCTCTGGTGCTTTTCTTTTAACGAACATCAAAGAAAAATGCACAGGGTTAAAAAAAAAAAACTATGAAAAAGGTTAATACATGAGTTTAAGTAAAAATGAATTAGGGAAAAAAACCTATGATTTTAAAGTAAGTTAACACAAGGTTAGAGTTGAAGTTTAAGTACCTAGAAAATGATGCTTTAATTATGTGTGTGTGTGCATTTGTGCGTGTGTGTGCACACATGGAGCGTCTCTGCATTGCTGTGTCCTCTAACCGAGTGCCGCACTTGATGGGGGTTGCCCTCCCGCTTGCTGCTGCCTTGAAGGCCCACTGCCCCACCCCGTCGCTCCCACAGGACGGATGGCAAGCACCCCCGTGCGCACTACCACGATGCTCTGATAGATATGTATCTAGTTATCTGAAGAAGTGGGTTGCACATGTGTACAGCTCACGAGAACTTGTGTGTACAGGATGTGAAGACACGACACAGCCAGCCTTCCTCGCTCACAGCGTCAGTGTCTTCACTCTCTCTCTACGAGACTGAGGATGCTCAAATGTGGGAAAGAGACTCAGTCATTCCATCTTTTGGACCTCATCTCCTTGAGCAAGTTCTGTCCCCTGGCCAAGGCGTCCTTCAGTGCGTCTTTCATGGTTTCATTCCGAAGGCTGAAGATGAAGGGGTTCTGCAGGGGAGTGAGGAGCTGGAGAGGATGAAGAGGGTCTTGTTGAGGTGCAGGCTGCTCTTCTGGGAGGGCACGCATACACAAAGATGGAGATCCCGAAGCCCATGGAGACCACGGTGAAGTGCGAGGCGCAGGTGGCAAAGGCCTTGCGGCGACCTTGGCGCGAGGTGATCTTCAGGATGGTGGAGACGATGTAGACGTAGGAGACCACCGTGAGCGAGAGGGAGCTGAGCAGCAGGACCAGGGAGCTGAGGAAGTCCAGGAGCGCGATGGCGCGGACGTCGGCGCAGGCCAGGTGCAGGAGGGGGCCGCTGTCACAGAAGAAGTGGTCGATGACGTTGGGGCCGCAGTAGGGCAGGCCTGCCTTCAGGACCGTGGACGGGAGGATGAGGAGAAAGCCACCTGCCCAGGAGAGGACCACGAGACGGACGCAGAGGGAGCCGGTCATGATGGCGGGGTACTGCAGCGGGCTGCAGATGGCCACGTAGCGGTCGTAGGACATGACGGCAAAGAGGACGAACTCGGTGCACCCAGACAGGAAGTAGAAATAGGACTGGGCGGAGCACCCCCCCAGTGAGACCCTGCTCCTCCCCCGCAGGAAGCCCCCCAGCAGCGTGGGGGCGGCACAGGTTGTGGTCACCATCTCGCTGAAGGAGAGGTTGCTGAGGAAGAAGTACATGGGCGACTGGAGCCTGCCGTCTGTGAGGATCAGCACGATGATGAGGGCGTTTCCGAGGACCGTCACCAAGTAGGCCGCCAGGAAGACCGAGAAGAGCAGGCCGCCGAGGGCTCTGGTGGTCGGGATCCCTGTAAGAATGACCTCCGTCACCATGGTCCAGTTCTGCCGCTCCATCCTGCATGGGACTCTCTTCACTGAGCTGGGCGAGGAGGAAGCAGGGCATCTCTCATCGAAGCGTCCGTTCTAACATCCACGGAGAGCGCTGCTTCGCTACGCTACGCCCTCTCTTAGGAAGAATAAATTATTTGATTGAAAATAAGATTAGTTTCAATTTTTCTTATAACTTTGAGACCTCAATGTAGAAAAATCAGTGGTCCTAAGTAGGACATATACAAATCAACGTCCTAACACAGGTTTTTCTTCTTTTTAAAATTTTCCCAAATATAGTCATTTTTAACCCGTATATTTCTATTTTATAACCTGGATAATGAAAAGGCAATAACCACAATGTACTTTCATCCTGTCTACAGAAGGGTCTTCAAAATTTTATGGAAAAATAGAATAAGTACCAAGTTTATTTTGGTACTGAAAATTGAAATCCATGCATTTTTTCATATTGAATGAATATGAACATTTTTCATATTCATTTTCTATGAATTTTTTCAAGGTCCTCTCACATATGTCATTATGACTGTTTGTTAAATGTAAGCAAGACATAGATCTATCTTTGATAATTGAGTACAATTTAGCCTCGTAATTGATTGCTGCTTCCGGAAGACCCAGCTTATGCCCCTGATCTGAGAGATTTCCCAGAGCACCAGGCCTCTCAGTCTGAGGACACTGACAACCCGGCGCTGCATCTGGTCTTCCTGCCTCACTCTGGAGACCGGGTGTGCCCTCTGCCAGCACTGGTCCCAGGAACATAAAAATAAGGGTGAATTTTCATTCTTTTGATACTGAGTGTAGTCAACTTTACATAATTTAAGCTTTCATTAATGTCTGATTTGACTTTATTGTAGTCATTAGGATTTAATTCATAAAGGAAGATTTTATAAATGATAAATAAGTAAATATGTGGAGGAAACAAAATTGCTACATAATTTAAAAGCTGTTAAAAATTTGCTAGAGGGCCCAGGTGCTTTCTAGAGAGAGGTGGGATGGGGGAGGGGTGGGGAAGAGTGGGGAGGGCCCCCAGGGGCGGCCCGGCTCAATCCCTTCTGCTCCACTTCTCCCTCCAGGATTCTGGGCATGCACGCCCGTCCGCCAGACCTCTGAGTCTACAATGCAAACCGCATAGTTGGCCATGTGGTTTGCAGCTGCCTGTACCTCCACACCATTGGCTGGCCCAAGAGTTAAATTTTAGAAATAATTTTCAGAATAACATTTTAAAGCAAATGAGTCAAATTTTGATAATATTTTATCAACTCTGTGTAAATGTGCAGTTGGAGATGTCTGTGCTGACCCTTCCGCACAGGACTCCACGCCAGACCATCTCGCCTGGATAATTAAGATAACCGGGCACAGTGAGAGGCAGAGAAAAGCCCCACTTTAAACAGAGCCTTCAAACGTTCATGTATGATTGACTATGTGATTTTAACAGAACAGAAAATTATCAAAGTAGATTCTCATGTCAAAGAAAATAGAAAAATGAATAACCAAAATTCTGAAAAATAAAGTGAAAATAAGAAAAGAACAAAGAAACATTTCAAATGACAATGAATCAGACAAAGGAAAGTTAACATGTCAATTGTATCAAAATATGAAAGAATTTTTAGTCACTATTAGTATCTGAGATAAAAATAACTTGGGGGGGAGGTTTTTGTTTGTTTGTTTGTCTTTGCTATAGGGCACATGCACTCGCCAGAAAGACAGAGAGAGACAGAGAGACAGAAAGCGAGAAATCATGCCCCAGGGCGGATGGCCAGGCCGCAATCCCTTCTCCTCCATTCTCTTCTCCGGATCTTGGGCATGCACGCACATGCGCCTGGCGTTAGTTTAAGCCATCAGGTCCAGGACTAGAACCATGGTCGACTACATGGGAGTCCAGCAACATAGCCATTATGCTAACTGCTGGTCCCAAAATAAATTTAATAATATTTACAAGAAATGCACATGCATAAAATTGATCAAAATTTAGAATATATCAAGAAATGAAAATAATAAGAATAAAGGGGCCAGCAGGTGGCATGGTGGCGAAGGTGCTGGACTCCCATATAGCCAACCGTGGTTCGAGTCTTGGAAGTGGCAGCTTGAAAATCATACAGGGCACATGTGCATGTGCACCAAAAATCTGGAGAGAAAAACGGAGGATAATGGACTGTGGCATGGTCAACCCCCTGGGGGGTGATTTCCCACTTTCCCTCTTACTGTCTCTGACTCTTTCTAGTGAGCACATGCACCCTATGGAAAAAAAAAGAAAAAAAAAGTTAAAATCAGGAATTACAATACAAATAGTAGACAAATTAGAATTCAAGAGAATAAATAAATTTTCCGTCATAAGACAAAGAAGATACTTGATGTAGAATAAAACACTCCAGTGAAATTTATGAATTTATGAGACAAATGAGATTACATGACTGTCAAGGTAAATGTGAAAAATACACGAAGTAATAGAAAGTATTGGAGTAGTAATTAGAAATTTTTAACACTCTCTATAAATCACAGGCTAGAAAATGAACAGTATTAATGGGGTCAAGCACTTAAGCTATAAATATATGCCCAATATTGTGGATGAACATGTATGAACTGAATTGATGTAAAGAAAGACTCTATTCTTTGGCTTGGAATCAATACTGAAAAATCTGTTAGTATGTACATTGTAGTTCCAATCAAATACCAGAAACATTTTTTTTTAATTGGCGAAAATAAACTAAATGCAGTCTTGCAGATTAACTAATATAGTTTAAACATCTACCAGCTAAGATGACATACCATTAAACTATAGCAATTTAGAATGAATATGCATAATTCGTGAAGACAACTTCAATTGATTTTATTGTATTCGTGGTGCAAAGTGAACAAAGAAAAAGTTAAACTCACATAAAACAAAGTTCCAGCTGAGCGTGTCTTGTCAGGCGTCAACTGTCATAAGAAGTGGAGGTTAGGACCATGCGCTTGGAGACCGTGTAAGCAGAAGTAGCGCAGAAAGCAGACAGGGTCTCAGACAGCTCCCATGCTATTGCGTCCATGTCCTTTGTAACACTACTGGGTTGCTGTATTGGAGGCGCTGAGACAGACAGAGACAGGGAGATGGAGAGAGACAAAGAGCCTGCTCTTGATTCTGAGATGTGGAAAATGAAGGCTGGGGTCGCTATCTCATGATGAAGCATGACCACGGCTGAGAGCAGGAGTGGTCGTGAAGAGCTAATAAATCACTATTAGCATTTTCTTTTGGATTATTTACACCAAATGGTCAAATGAATGTGTCAGACTTTCAAGATTTCGCAGCATTTCTAGTGTCAGCCATCAGGGGATCCAGAGTCGTCTAACATGCCTGGGGCCGCCTCCTCTTCTGGACTAAGGTCTTATAATAACGGAAACATTACAAATGTCCCAGTCTCTTTTTCTAATACATTCATTTTTTTTAACAATTCGTAATCTTACTTGATAAAACGTTTCCCCTGACCAGTGGGAATTTTTTAGCTTAGGAAAAAGGAAGAAGATGGCCTGATTTTGATTCATTTTTCTTCCTTTTGGAAATGGGCGTCAGAGCCCAGAGGATAGGGTTTCCATAGGAACTGCAGAGCCAGATTCCTTCTGAGGTTGGCTCCTTCTGAATCCACGGGCAGGCGCACAGAACTCACCCAGAGGACGTCTCAGAAAATAACGAGGTTTAAATCAGCGCAGCTCCCCTGGGAAAATATAGTGCACAGGAAAAATAACCTAGAATCTCCTCACTGGGTAAACTTTGCCCGAAAACTCATTAATGAGTTTATCCTATAGAGACCAACAAGTTTAGAAAACTTTATTTTCCCAGGAGAATTTATAAAGGCAAAAGCAAATTATTTCAAATGGTGTGAATGACACTTTTTCTGAACTATCTGTATAGACATAGAAAAAACATATATGTGGTGTGTATGTATACAGGTTTACATGTATGACTCTACCCACACGTCTGTCTTTGACGTTCCTGGATAACGTACGACCACGCCGGAACTTGCAGTTGCGTGATCTGTTCTTCATTGCTGGGACACTGCTCCTTCAGTAGGTAACACTAGCGACTGTGAAGAGCTACAGACAGACGTCCGTGGGGGTCGGACCCTGAGGCCTACCACACTCACGGTGCAGGACGAGCTCTCAGGACCAGCACTCACGCCACCTCTGAGCCGGTCGGTTAACGCCTCCAAGTTAGGGCACTAGAGCCTCTTGGTAGAACATTTCTTCAAAAGGATATTTTTAAAGATTTCTATCACAAAGGACATATTTTTTAAATTTTCATAAAACTTCTTATATACTGTCCGTATTCCTGCCTAACAGATGTAAAAAATTGTTTTTTAAAAAAACTTTTCTTCAAACTTTACTTTTAGCAGTAGCCTACCACACGTTACAATATTAATTCACCTATAAAAACCTCACGACCTACACGTGGCTTCTCCTACTTTCTTGTGTGTCTTATTCTTCCCATGTTCTTCATCCACTCTTCTTTTTCAGGGCTCAATATTCAAACTTGCTTTTTTAATTTCCTCTGATTCCAACTATAGTTGTTCTTTCTCAAAATTCCTTTGGTTATTTGAGGCCTTTTGTGGTTCCATGTGAATTTTAAGATTTGTTCTCTTCTGTGTCTATGAACTATGCCACTAGAACTTTGATAGGGGTTATAGTGAGTCTCTAATTGGTGTAGGTAGAATGGACATTTTGCAACATTGATTCTTCTAATCCTTGAGCACAGCATAACTTTCTAATTGTATCTTCCTTAATTTCTTTCATCAGTATCTTACAGTTCTCAATTTAAAGATCTTTCACCTCCTTGGCCAAATTTAATTCCTAGATATTTTATTCTTTTTGATGCTATTATAAATGGACATGCGTTTTTAATTTCTTTTTTGTACAGTATATTGTTAGTATGTAGGAATGCAAATGGGACCAGCCAGGGTGTGGTGGTAAAGGCAGCTAGATCCCACATAGCCGTCTGCCCCATTCCAGTCGCAGACCCAGAGCCTTGAAAAACACACTGGACACGTGTGCATGGGCCCAAACATCTGAAAGGAGGAGAGGGAATTGTGGCATGACCGTCTCCCATCGAAGGAGGGTGCTTTCTCACTTTCTCTCTTTCTCTCTCTCTCTGTCCTTCTCTGGTGAACACACATGCTTTCTGACCAATTAAAATTAAAATTAAAAAGAAATGCAAATGATTTTTGTATGTTGACTTTGTATACTGAAAATTTAATGTTTTTTAAATTAGTTGTACTGGTCTTTTTGTGGGTTTTTAGAGCTTTTAATATATAAGATCAAACAGATACAAATAGGTAATTTACCTTCTTCCTTTACAGCTTAGAGGCCTTTTATTTGTATACGTTTGTTCTTGTCTGATTGCTCTGGCCAGAACTTCCAGAACCATGTTAACTAGAAGTAACAAGAGTAGGCACACTATACATGTTACTTAATTTGATTAGGAAAACCATTTCAGAAAATACAGGTATATAAAGTCATCACATTGTTCACTTTGAATATTTTTAATTTTTATAAGTCAATTATAAATTAATAAAGCTGGAAAAGTAAATAGTGAAACATAATATATCTAGAAAGAGGTTAGTGGGGTGAAATAAGTGAAGCTAATTATGATATCAATGGTATATAGTCACATAAAACCAATATTCTGAAAAAATAAAGCAAAATGGCAATAATAAAATAAAATTTTTCTTATCATTGTCTTTTTTAATAGAATTATTTATTATTATTTATTATTATTTATTATTTATTTTTACTATGATTATTATAAAAGTGAGAAAGTAAGCTGCCAGGTCCAGGAACTGAACCTCAGTCAGCCAGGTGGGAGTCCAGTGCCCTATCATGCCACCTGTCAGTCATCATTGTCTTTTTTTTTTTTTGAGAGATTTTCACTGTAGGGCGCGTGCGCTCGCCAGACAGACAGAGAGAGACATAGAGACAGAAAGCGAGAAATCACCCCCCAGGGGGGATGGTCACGCCGCAATCCCTTCTCCTCCATTCTCCTCTCGGGATCTTGGGCACGCACGCACACGCGCCCGGCGTGAGTTTTAAGCCACCGGGTCTGGGACACGAACCGCGGTCGACTACGTGGGAGTCCAGCGACATAGCCATTACGCTAACTGCTGGTTCCCAGTCATCATTGTCTTTTAAAAGCAAATACAATTACGTTGACCAGTTGTCCTGGCTCACTAGGTGGGCTACTCTGTACTCATCTCTCACGTGTAGATGCCTGTGGTCTCCCTGCTCCTCGCCGAGGTTGTCCTGTCGTCTCCCTGCACTTCACTGAGGTTGCCCTGTCATCTCCTTGCTCTTTGCTGAGGTTGCCCCATCGCCTCCCTGCTCCTCGCCGAGGTTGCACAGTGGCATAGCGTGTGCCGATTTTCCAATATTCCCTCGGTGCCCACTTACGCATGCCTGTCGGTCGTTATGTTGGTCTCAAATCATGGACTCTAATTCCATTTGAAGAAGTTCTTCATACTTAGTAGACACGATATGGTGAAACATTTTTGGATTTGCACCAGGGTCATCCATTGAAAATAAATGCATGCTTATATATTGCTTTATCATATGACAGCCAGATTATTTATTAATAAATAAATTATTAAATGAAGTTTTAGCCAAATTATACAGAAAAAGTATTAATCATGTTATTGAAAACTTTTTATCCATTTTGTTCTTAAAACCTCTCCTGGGAAAGCAAAGTTCTCTGCATTTATTGGAGTCTCGGAGGAGTAATTCATTAAAGAGTTTTGCAGACACTTTCATAGTAGGTAAGAACATAACTTTTCTCAGCTAGCCAGCTCCCTGTGGATGTGTACCCAAAGTGTCTGCTTTTAAAGGTTTGTCCTGTGGAAGTCTTTCTTCTGAGAGCACTTAGTCCTGTCAGGTGTCCCAGCGTGAACCGTCCACCACTGCAAGGCCTGGGACAGCCGCTCAGTAGAAGCCCATCTCCGGGCTGGTGTCTGAGCACAGAGGAATGTGGGCCCAGACTGAGACGTCTTCTGTTTCTCTCCATCTGACCTATTTTCCCTGGGCTAGGGTCGCTCCATGCCAGATAAGGCTCTGTGGTAACAGAAGGAACGTGTCTGTGCTCAGAGCCAGTGTGAAGGCTCACTAGTGGCATTTCACGTGTGATAGCGTGTCCACTAGGGAGAACACACTTGCCCATGGCAGATGCTTCTGGCTTATCAGAAGAGAAGATGCCAGGGAAGGTAAAACGATGTGGAATCGGGTGTTAATTTAAATTTTTTGTCTTCAGCAAGTAAGAATTGGTTTTTCTAAATAACTACACTTGAGTATTAAATGTTAACTAAACTTGTCACACATCTTTCTTTGGGACTTCAGACATGGCTTAACCTCTGCAATGTTCACTTTTCCTCATTACTTTCCTTAATTCCCACCAATGGACCCAATGTCCAGTTTGAATTCAAACCACATTCACCCACAGTTCTTCAGTTTTGTACTAACGCATTTCTCTGTATTCTGAAGGAGCTTTTCTTTCTCTATTCCTGTCCCTCCACCCCTTTTTCTTCTTTTCTCTTTCTCTGTCTCTGTCTCTCTTTCTGGTGTGGTTGTGTTGCCAGAAATTAGGTTATCAAGACTACACCTCAGCTTCCTACTAGTAGCAGTGTTATGTGCTTATTTAATAGGTTGGGTCTTCTGTCTGGTTAATATCATCTTGTAATGCTTCTGTTCCATGTCTTCTGACCTCATTTGCTTGTTGGTTGGTTTGTTTGCTAGAAGGCATGTGTATTCACCGGAGAGAGACCGAGAGAGAAAATGAGAAATTGCTCCCCAGTGGGGATGGCCTTGGTTGGTTTCTTTGCTAGAAGGCATTCTTCTCAGGATATTGGGCATGCACACATGTGCCCAAAAGAGTTGTCAAGCTGCTGGGCCTGGGACTCGAACCGTGCAGTCAACCCTGTGGGGTCGGCTCCCTTAACCTCCACACCACGTGCTGGCCTGTGACCACCAAATTCTTAAAAGAAATTTAAGGTTTAAAAATAGAGTATGTCTCACTTGAATATTCTTTTAAGACAGCTAAATTTCTCTGACTGCTTTTCCAAACATTAAATAAAAATGGTTGAATGTGCATTTGTAAACTTTTCACATTTATTAAAAATAGTTTTATTGCAGATAAGTTATAATAACTAATAGTGTAAAATATTCATTTTTCTATTTAAAGTATACACTAATTAGAATCATAACATTTTATTTTGGGCCAGCGATGGTGTGATGGTTAAGGTGATGGTCAACTGTTAGTTCTGGATCCAGTGACCTGAAAAATACGGCAGGCACGTGTGCCCAAAATCCTGACAGGAGAAAAGGAGAGGTGATTGTAGTATGATCGTCCCTCTGGGGGTGGTGCTTTCTTAGTTTCCCTCTCTCTCCAGCAAGTGCACACACACTCTCTGACCAAAAAAAAAAAAAAAAAAGGTGTTTTTTAAAAAATTATATTTATAGGGTCAGCAGGTGGCATAGTGGTTAAGGCACTGGACTCTCACATGGCCAACTAAGGTTTGAGACCTGGCCACTTACAAATCACACTGGGCACGTGTGCATGGGTGCCCAAAATCCTGAGAGGAGAATGGAGGAGAAGGGTTTGCAGGGTGGCCATCCCCCTGGGGGATGATTTCCCACTTTCCCTCTCACTGTGTTGCTTCCAAAGAATTCATGCACCCTATGGCAAAAAAATTTATATATACACACACACACACACACACACACACACACACACACACATAGCCACACCGCAATCTTTCCTCTTCCATTCTCCTCTTGGGATTTTGGACATGCATACACAGGTACCCAGCATGAGTTTTAAGCCCCTGGGTCTGGGATTTGAACCATAGTCCACCACACGGACTTCAGCAATGTAACCTGTAACTGTTACACCATCTGCTGGTCCCGCTGCTCATATTTCTAAAAATCGCCTGCCATAAATATGACGCGATCTCTTACACCATATTGTTGCCGAGTTTGTATTTTTTCTTTTTCAGACAGAGCCTCCTGTGTCCCAGTGTGCCTTCCAGGTCTCTGGGACCACAGGTGCATGCCCTGAGTCCAGCCTGCAGGTGGGCCAGGAGTGGCACCCAGACACACATGGCCCAGCTGGACCTTGGGCGGCCAGGCCTGCTAGCTTTATCTGCTGACATGACCTTCTTATCATTCACTTGTTTTCATCAAGGACACTTCTATAAAATAATTTTTAAGATGTGAACACTTTCGGAAACATTTACACTTCATTTACGTAATCCTTTTCCATTGATTACAGCTATCGGGATGAGATTAACCTGTGAACTTCCACATAATACAAAGAAAAGGCAGAAGATCAGAAAGGAAGGGCGTGTTTAAACCCACAGGGACACGAGTTCTCAGTGGTGGAGGAGGGTGGGCTAACTTCCGGCTCTCTGGCACTGGCAGAGGCAGGGGAAGGTGGAAGTCTCTCTGTGCCCATGGCCAGGTGACGGTGGGGACGTGGCTGTCCCTTCCTTCCGCGCTCTCAGAATTCCAGGCAGCCTCGGTCCCGCCAGGCAGACTTCACACGGCTACTACATTTCCAACGCTAAATGCGTATTTTATTAAAATACCTGCCACACTATGAAAATATATTTTTAGGCCGATAAAATATGTCTAGCAGTGTTCCTGTACACCTCAGAAATTAGAAAATGGTACATATATAAAAAAAAAGACCAAGAGAAGTTAATTTTCGTATATCCTAGTCTGGATTTTTGTAGAAAATATTACATTCAACCATAACATGAATCACATTTCTCAATTTTACTGGAAACAAATGAATGACTAACATAATCTCTTCTAAATTTCATAATCTAATGAGTGAATCATGTTATTTCTTTCCTAACTTTTAACAGGAAAAAGAGAGAGAAAACATGGAGCGGCAGAACTGGACCATGGTGACGGAGGTCATTCTTACAGGGATCCCGACCACCAGAGCCCTCGGCGGCCTGCTCTTCTCGGTCTTCCTGGCGGCCTACTTGGTGACGGTCCTCGGAAACGCCCTCATCATCGTGCTGATCCTCACAGACGGCAGGCTCCAGTCGCCCATGTACTTCTTCCTCAGCAACCTCTCCTTCAGCGAGATGGTGACCACAACCTGTGCCGCCCCCACGCTGCTGGGGGGCTTCCTGCGGGGGAGGAGCAGGGTCTCACTGGGGGGGTGCTCCGCCCAGTCCTATTTCTACTTCCTGTCTGGGTGCACCGAGTTCGTCCTCTTTGCCGTCATGTCCTACGACCGCTACGTGGCCATCTGCAGCCCGCTCCAGTACCCCGCCATCATGACCGGCTCCCTCTGCGTCCGTCTCGTGGTCCTCTCCTGGGCAGGTGGCTTTCTCCTCATCCTCCCGTCCACGGTCCTGAAGGCAGGCCTGCCCTACTGCGGCCCCAACGTCATCGACCACTTCTTCTGTGACAGCGGCCCCCTCCTGCACCTGGCCTGCGCCGACGTCCGCGCCATCGAGCTCCTGGACTTCCTCAGCTCCCTGGTCCTGCTGCTCAGCTCCCTCTCGCTCACGGTGGTCTCCTACGTCTACATCGTCTCCACCATCCTGAAGATCCCCTCGCGCCAAGGTCGCCGCAAGGCCTTTGCCACCTGCGCCTCGCACTTCACCGTGGTCTCCATGGGCTTCGGGATCTCCATCTTCGTGTATGTGCGCCCCTCCCAGAAGAGCAGCCTGCACCTCAACAAGACCCTCTTCATCCTCTCCAGCTCCTCATTCCCCTGCAGAACCCCTTCATCTTCAGCCTTCGGAACGAAACCATGAAAGACGCACTGAAGGACGCCTTGGCCAGGGGACAGAACTTGCTCAAGGAGATGAGGTCCAAGTAACAGTTTTGTTACTTATTTATTTAATTTTCTCAATCTTGAGTCTCTTTTACCTTACTAATAATGATTTCAGAAAAGTCGTGATATTTACAAGTGAATAAATGGTCTAAGTTATGAAAAATCTCCCACATTGCTACAGCCATACTGGGTCCATATGCAATTTAATTTGTAAACTATGTTACATTAATAAGCATTCTTATCATAGGTTAGAGAAAGTGATGGGAATGGGGATGATTGAAGTAATAAGAGACTGGGTTAAAAGTATCATTGAATATGTCACTTATTTGGAAACATACAAATTCATCTCAGGGATATATAGAAAGGAACATCTTCAGAGCACCTCACTAACAATGCACACAAACAAGTCAAAAATTCTGCCGTGGAACATAATCTGAGAAGTTTTATTATGGGCTCGAAAGCCATCTTCTTTCTAACAACACGGAGATCGTCAATATTGGCTCATTCTTCATTTTAGTACAGTTTTACTTATTACATTTGCTATTTAGTTTGAAGGCTGCTTAAAAAGTACATTTTAAGTACTTAAAATATTTCTGTAGATGAGACCAGCAGATGACATAATAGTTACATCACTGGACTTCCACGTAGTCGACCGCAGTTAGACTCTTGGACCCGGTGGCTTAAAACTCACTTTGGGCACTTCTGTGTGCGTGACCAAAATCCCAAGAGGAGAATGGAAGAGAAGAGATTGCAGCTTGGCTATCCCCACTGGGGTATAATTTCTTGCTTTCTGTCTCTCTGTCTCTCCAGTGAGCACACATGCCTTATATCAAAAATCTATTTTAAAAATTACTACAGATTGATTTGTGTCCTGTCTTCAATGATTTCCTCAAGTGTCAGTATTTTATAATGTAGCTACTCGAGAGTATTACATAACTGGGAAAGAGGACACAGGATTTCACATTGTGTAACTATATACAACAGAGCCCCACACTTCTTAAAGCAAAAGCCACTTAAACTATAATATAAACACATCAATGTACATGCATAGAGACTTTAACATCTTTTCTCAGTAACTGATAATTACTAAATAATTGTCAGTAAAGTAAGAGTAAGGACATAGAAATTTTTTTTTAAAGTTTTGTCAGTAACTAATGATATACAGTGAATGAGTATATTTTTTAAAAAATTAAAAAGTAAAAAACAAACAAAATCCTTATCAACCTAAAATTGCGTATCTGGCAAAATTATCCTTTTAAGGACAAAATAAATTTTTGGATAACTAATAAAATAAAAAATTTGCAGAGGCTGTGTTGTGTGTACTTGGGGGGGAAGACAAAGCACCCCATGGGGGACGGTCACACTGCCATCCCTTCCAGCCTTTCAAGATTCTGTACACACACGCACACACACAACACATGCACACATACACACACGTTGCACGCACACACCCAGCATGTTTTTTAAACCCTCAAGTCTGGGACTTAAGCGACAGTCGGCCCTGTGGGATCCAGCTGCCTTAACCACCACACCACTAGGTGGCAAGGATGTAGAATTTCTAAACAGTATTAATCAGCTTCACCTCTGAACATTTAAACACTCGTCAGAATACATACTCTGATCTACTTTTTAAAAATAATTACTTTATTTAACTTTATTTATTTATTTTAATTTGACCAGAGAGAGAGAGAAAGCAAGGGGCCAGGTGGGCCATGTGGGAGTCCCGGACCTGGTGGCTTAATCTCACGCCGGGCGCATGCACGTGCATGCCCAAGATCCCAAGAGGAGAATGTAGGAGAAGGGATTGCAGCATGGCTATCCCCCTGGGGGGTAATTTCTCGCTTTCTGTCTCTCTGTCTCTGTCTGTCTGTCTGGCCAGCACACACGCCCTATAGCAAAAAAAAAAAAAAAAGAAAGAAAGAAAGAAAAGTCCATATGCAAAGCTCATGGAAGTGGTCAGAGGGTGGCCATGAAATGACTCTCAGTGTAGTTCAAAAGAAAGAAATTATACACAGCATTGTCTTTTGACCACAATACAGTAAAATTCAACGAAAAAGTAATATTTATCTAAGACTTCCAATAATTGGGAATTGAGAATTCATACCTGTAAAACCTTAAGTGTAGGAGAAATCAGTACAAAATTAGGAAAGAACTTAGATATACGTTATTAGCCAAAGTGGAGGCCAGACTTGTGGTCGGTGTAGCGTCCCCAGTTCCCCAGCCAGGACTCACGGGGATGACCGCGGACCCAGGCTCGCCTGGTCCGGCTGCACCCAGTGGGCAATGAGCCACGGCCAGAGCCCCAGAAGAAGGTGGGAGGCTTCCGGGAAAACCCGGAGAACAGGGGCGGCTGTCAGCTGGCCCTGCACCCGGGAAGAGCTCCAGAACCTGGCGTCGCGGGAGGGCGATCGGAAATTTTCAGCACCAGACCGAGCTCAGGCGGGGTGGTGCCGATGCCCAGCTGGGCAGGGAGGGACAGGGTGCCAACGCAGCAGAGCGGGGTGGGGCGGCCGGACCCACGACCCGGCAGGTGGAAAGCGGTGGGGTACGTGCGCGCCGGTGCCCAGAACCCGGAAGGCCAAGGGGAAGGGCTGCGGTGTGGCCACCGCCATGGGCTGCCCGCTCCTTTCCCCACCCTCTCCCATGAGCTCGAGCACCCTCTGGCGAATGGGAAGAAAAATAAAAAGCGGTGGTTTTAGGACCGAGAGAGCGCCTCCACCCTGGGCTCCACCCTCCAGGGTCAGAGCAGGGAAGGCTGGAAAAGGAAGCTCCCTGCATGGCCCTGGGAGGGGTTTACGGAGCTTGCTCCAGCACCTCCCGTCCAGTGTGACCAGTACCACCAGGGTTCCAGGTTCCGGTTCGAGGGCGGAGACCGCCTCGCCCTCTGGGCTCTCAGAAGCTAATTAGCACTTCCTGTGCGGTTTCCAGTGATAACTCCAGGCCCATTCATCACTCACAGGAGACGTTTTCTACCCATTACACCCGACCTCATAGCTTCGGGCCCTAAGCCTCCTGGCCCCGAGAGCGAGGCAGAGGCAGGTCTCCCTAGATCACAAGCGGAGAGGCAGTTTCAGGTGGGCCTGCAAGGTCCAGGGCTTTTGTTTTTATTTATTTATTTCGCTTATTTTAGAGGGACAAAGCGGGATGGGGAGTGGTGAGAAAACAAGCCACCAGGTCCGGGACTCGAACTGCATTCTGCCCTGTGGGAGTCCAGCGCCCTTAACCACCATGCCACCTGCCGGCCCCCAGACCTGGGCCTTGAACCGCAGTCCGCCTTATGGAAATCCAGCACCTTGACCGCCAGGGCTGTGTCCGTGTCCGTGGAGAGCTGGGATGGGCCCTGTGGCCCTCCGGGTTCTAATACCCGCAGCAGGAGCTGAGACTGCCAGTGGCCTGGGAAGCCGGCGGGCTCCGCAGTTCCTGGCTCACGCTCTGCCCAGCTCGGGTCAGTGCGCGTTGACCTGCCCTCCCCCGGAGGAGACCCGGCGCTGGGCACGGCATGCAGGCCCCAGCCTCTCGGCTCGCAGGCAGTACGGAGCTCTGGGCCTCAGCGCAGCTCCGCTATTCCCAGTGTGCCCAGAGAGCAGGAGACCGGTGAGTGTCCTCTCCCAGCTGGTGCAGAGAAGGGGAGCGAAACCCCAGTCGGCCTCGCTGACAACAGAGGAGCCTGGAGGAACACCTGCCACCACGCCATTCCTAGGCCTGTCCTGCGGGGCTGGGTCTAGCCTGTTTTTCTTGGGGCACTGACTGGGCACAGAGTATTCTGATGTCCTGGGGGTCACCGAAATCAGGGAATACCATTTGGACAAACACGAAAATTTGGGAGGCACCTTAAAAATCTCTGGTCAAATAAATGGGTGAGATCCTTTTCCTCCACCAGGTCGGTCTAACGTGATGGGGGATTTAAGGGTCTTAATGTGCAAAAGCCAAAACGGAGTCAAAGTAAATGGAGACAAACAGAGGCGCACGAGCAATACCAGAAGCCCAAGTGACCAGAGAGGAGTTCACCTGACAAGAACTTCAAAGCAGTGGCTGGTGGGGATGCCCCCGGAGGGTCAGGCCATGCAGTCCGCAGCTTCCGGCCCGGAGACCAACAGTGTGAACAGAACAGTCTGTGCTCCTCCCCTTTGTGCTCTGTTTCCTTCTCTTTCAGCTCTTCGTTCTCTTGTCATTTCTTTTCTTTCTTTCTTTTTTATTTTCCTCCTAAATTCCTCATTTGGGCATTTATTATTTTCCCGAAAAGGTCTTTTTTTATTTCCTGATTTTCCTGTATTTTCTTGAAATTTGCTTAGCTTCCTTAAAACAATTATTTAGAATTATTTTCAAGAAGGTTGTGTATCTCTATTTTGGGGGAGTCAATTACTGGGAGATTACTGGGTTTTTGCTTGTTCGTTTGTTGTGTTATTTTTCTGTTTTGTTTTGTTTGTTTGTGTTTCTCGTTGCTTTATTCTGACATCTGGACATTTGAAGCAGGGACTTACTTTGGTCCTCATAGACTGAGAGCCCTTTACCAGTAAGTCTGAGCAGATTCTGGGAAATGCAGCAGATATGAGGTGGCTTCTGCAGAGTCCTGGGGAGCTGGCCTTGAGCTGGGTCAGCAGGGCGTGATCTGCTTCCTGGGCTCACGTGCTGGGCCTGGGGCTCTTGGCATTGGCCTGGAATTCACACCCAAAACTGGTCTGCCACTGTGACTGCTAGAGCCCACCGGGCCTGGGTCTGCCAGAGCAGGCCTGGACTCTGGATCTTCTGGAGCCTAGGCCCAGAACCTAGTCTGGAATTGGAAAAGTCAGAAGGCTATTTAAATGGGTCTGGCCAGAGGGCTAGGTCTCCAGGTACCAAGATTTTGTCGGAAACCATGGCTGTAGACCTGGGATTGAGGCAGGTCAGGAGGCTGGGTCTGCACGTCTGGACCAAAGCACCCAGCTACAGGCCCGGCAGGTGCGGCCCAAAACCTGAGGTCGTGTGGGCTGGCCTTGCTCGGGGCTGGCTGGAGCCAGAATCTCCAGGGACCCGTGTGATTGGGGTCACACAGGGTAACCTGTGCTGGCTGGCCCTGAGACCAGGACCCACGAGGGCCGATCTGAGGCTTAGTCTCCATGTGGCAACCCCCGCCTGAGACCACAGGGCAAGCCTAGAGCTGGCATCAGCAGGTATCCGTCTTATGCTGGGTGGCCCCAAAGCTGGGCTGCAGGGGAGGCCTGGGCAGTCGGGAGTGCGCTGCTGTGCTCCTCAGGCTAGTAATTTGTGTTGTTTCTGAATAATTGTGAAATTTCTGTAATAAACTTAGACTTGGTTATGTAA